AGAAAAAGAAAGGGGGTCAAGGTGAAAACCCGCAAAGGGCATCTTGTAACCAAATGAAGGATTTGAGTTGAAAACCTGAAAAGGCGGCTCAAATGCAGGTTGATATTAGGCATCTGGCAATTGAACCCTCTTAAGATTTTGACAGTTTGGGAGAAACTTCACATCTACAAGCATTTTGACAACGTTTGAGATCTTCCAGACAAAAGCTTACATCATTACTCTAAATTGTATCAACTTGATTAATTTAGAAATACTTATGCTTATAATTTGTTGAGACATTTGAATTTTTATTCTTATGCTTGCCATAACTTTGAATACAATTATATCTATTTCAATTTCAATTTATTTGAGATTCAATTTATTTTTGGAAATTCAATTTATTCTTTTCTATTGAATTAACATAATTTTGAAATAATTTAAAGATTTCTGAATATCACTTTATGTTAATACTTTTGAATACATGGAATACAAAGTAAGCAAATCATCACTAGCTTAAAGCCATGAACATCAAGATTATTACACGGGATCCTACCGACAACAAAGTCGAATCCGCCAAATCTACTCATCAATTGCTCCAACCGATCACCATTCAGTTCTTGCACATCTGTTTTCAAAAATATACTAAGACAATAGAAGGTGATCTTTGCAACACTGATTCCAACAAAAGGAAACAAGACATTGATATCACTGGGAAATATGTCTCTATACAGATCCTTGTGTATGGTTTTTAAAGAAAACTAGAAGCATTTCCACCTCATCAGGTTCAAGTGGAGCAACTTTATTCCTTCCAACCCATACTAGATTCCATTTTCAGCATTCATCAAGAAAATACTTCTGGACACTCAAAGGAAGGCCATCATTTCTTTGTCAATGGAAAAGCATCAGCACATGGAGGAAGCAGAATAAAGAGAAAATCTGTTCTTAATTGGCAGAATTATGAATATAGCCCTTTTCAGTGTAGTAGCATGGAAATGCTTCGAATCTACAAATTCTGGCTCTACATCGAATAAGCATTGTGATATCCTAGTCCAAACATTAAATGAAAGATGAATTTGCCAATAGCATCTTCTGGAAGTGTTCTTTGAGTTATCTGATCTGGTTGGACAGAACCAATCATTGAATTTAAAAGATGAATTTGTTAATAGCATCTTCTGGAAGTGTTCTTTGAGTTATCTGATCTGGTTTAGCAGAACCAATCATTGAATTGGGAAGATGAATGTGCTCATAACATCTTCTGGAAGTGTTCTTTGAGTTATCTGATCTGGTTGGACAGAACCAATCATTGAATTTAGAAGATGAATTTGTTAATAGCATCTTCTGGAAGTGTTCTTTGAGTTATCTGATCTGGTTTAGCAGAACCAATCATTGAATTGGGAAGATGAATATGCTCATAGCATCTTCTGGAAGTGTTCTTTGAGTTATCTGATCTGGTTTGGCAGAACCAATCATTGAATTTGGAAGATGAATTTGCTAATAGCATCTTCTGGAAGTGTTCTTTGAGTTATCTGATCTGGTTTGGTAAGAACTACAGAACCAATCATTGGAATTAAAAGATGAACTGCATGATTATCTTCATTAAGAAGCTTCTTTTCAAGCTTCCTCTGCTTCTTCCTTTTCAAAAATCATAGCCCGAGTTTTGCCTTTGCTTGTAACTGGGATCATCACATAATGGCTTCCCATCTTTTATCGGAAGAAAGCTATTTGAAGTTTTAGCATCTGAGAATCCCATTTTTGTCAAGTATAACAGTTTATTCTCCTCATCAGAATCAGAATTCAAGATTTCTCGGTATTAGAAGAACTATCGATATCTGTGAAATCATCTTGAAAGGTCACTTCATAATCAAATGAGTTGTTATCAGAATCAACATGTTGCCTGAATACAAGCTTTTCAAGAGCCTATACTATTGAGTTTTATTCTCAAGAGGTTTAGTGACATTATATCTACATTTGTCAAAGATGATGGATTCTCTGATTTGAAGAAGAAAGATCTATTGTGTTTCTACAACTGAAGAAATACTCAGTTCACCAATCTGAAATCAAATAATTTAACATTCATGCATCATATTTTAGGTGTTTACAAAAATAGGTGCATTTTCATTCATTTTCATCTATGTTGAATTTTTAACAGGAATTTCAAAGATTTTAGCAAAGATTCAAATCTATCATTTGATGGATTATCATTGCCAGAGAAGGTTCATAATGAGAAGAACTCATCTGAAGAAGGAAGAAGAAGTTCATAATGAGAAGAATTTGTTCAACCTTTTGTTTGAATTCATCACTTGATGGATTATCATTGCCAGAGAAGGTTCATAATGAGAAGAACCCATCTGAAGAAGGAAGAAGAAGTTCATAATGAGAAGAATTTGTTCAACCTTTTGCTCAAATCTATCATTTGATGGATTAACATTCCCAGAGAAGTTCATAATGAGAAGAATTCATCTGAAGAAGGAAGAAGAAGTTCATAATGAGAAGAATTTGTTCAACCTTTTGCTCAAATCTATCACTTGATGGATTATTTTTTCCAGAGAAAGTTCATAATGAGAAGAACTCATCTGAAGAAGGAAGAAGAAGTTCATAATGAGAAGAACTTGTTCAATCTTTTGCTTGAATTCATCATTTGATGAATCAACATTGCCAGGTAGAGTTCATAATGAGAAGAACTCGTCATCTGAAGAAGGAAGAAGAAGTTCATAATGAGAAGAACTTGTTCAATCTTTTGCATGAATTCATCAATTGATGGATCAACATTTCTGGAGAAGTTCATAATGAGAAGAACTCATCTGAAGAAGAAAGAAGAAGTTCATAATAAGAAGAACTTGTTCAACTTTTTGCATAATTCTATCGCAGAAGGAGATAGATTAGCATCAGCCTTTCTAGAAAAAGTTCATAATGAGAAGAACTCATCAAGAGCTTATTCAACCTTTTGAATGACTCTATCACAGAAAGGAGGTCATCATCATCCCCAGCAGAAAGTTCATAATAAGAAGAACTTATCTGGAGAGAGAGAAGAATTTATTCAATATCTCCATCATGATCAAAGTAAAGTCAAAATGGATAAAAAATTTTATTATCTTTTCATCTTTGCCCTATTCTTGTTAACACAAGAATGAGCAAAGAGGGGCAGCTGAAGATATTAATTTTTTATCCATATTATTATTATTAGTATTTTTATTATTATTATTATTATTATTATTACTATTATTATTATTATTATTATTATTATCATTATTATTATTATTAAATATATATTAAACATATATATATAAATAATAATTACAGGCCAATTACAACTGGACCGGCCCAGTTACAAACAAACCAGAACCGGTCCGACGGCTACAACGGTGGTGGCTATAAAAGCCACCACCCCAACCTGAAAAAAAAAAAGAAAGGACAGAGACAGAGGCAGAGACGGAAACAGAAAAAAAGAGAGAACATAGAGAGGAAAAAAAAACAGAGAAAAATATACTAAAATATACCAACGATCTCAGTCAACATCAACGCAGCAAGGAAAAAAGAGAGAAGAGAGGAAAGAAGCTTACCCTGTCATCGGAGAACCCCAACCGTCACCGGATCTCACCGGAACCTTCGAAACACCGAAGGTACTTTTGTAGATTCGCTCCGATTGGGAGCTTTTTAGGAGGAAATAATACCGGAACCGTCCTTAGGACGGTCCGATCTATCTATTAGTATAAAAATATTTTTTTCCGGCCACCGGATGCGGTGGCCGGCGGTGATAATCACGGCGGCACACGGTTGCCGTCCGGTGACCGGCTTCCCTCCAGTGAGGGAAGCTAGAGAGAGGCGAGAGAGTTTTAAAACTCTCTCAGTTTAGAGAGAGAGAGTGAAATGAAAAATGAAGGCTGGCCCTTCGGGCCAGCCGGTTTTGGACCATTTATAGTCCTTCCCGAACGACGTCGTTTCGGGAAGGACTATGCGCGTAATTATAAAATAGTTAAACCCTGTCCGCAGTCCTCATAATTTGTAAAATTTACATTTTAGTCACTAAATTGAATTTATAATATTTTTAATTCAGTTTTCGAATTTTAATTTCTTTTTATTTTAGTCCTTCATATTAAAATAATATATTTAGGATAAATTACAGATTTAATCCCTTAATTTTAATAAATAATATTTTAATCCTTAGTTTATATTTTTAATTTATTTTATTTTAATATCCGAATTTTAGATAATTTTATTTTAGTCACTAAATAAATAAAATAAAGAAATAACATATTTAATCCTTATAACTTTGATTAATATTGAATTAAGTTTTTAATTTCATTTTTACTATAATTTAGTCATTTAATTTATAAGTTTTCATTTATTTTATTGCTTTTAAAATATATTGTTTTAGTGGTATTTTTATTGTTTTAATTTTATTTGTTTATATTTTTTAATATTTTTATGTATTCATAAATATATATATATAATAAATCTGGAATAAATTTTAATGTTTATTTTTAATATCGAAGAAAAGGACAGTCTTAATACAACTGGATGTCCTATTCTGATATTTTTTTAAACAATATTATTTAAATTAATATTTATCAATATCAAAGAAAAGAGTTGTCTTAAGGCACCTAGAAGTTCTTTTCTGATATTTTTAAATAAATAAATATTTTTTATATAATTTTGAAATAATAGAATTATAAATTAAATATTTTTTTTTGAATTTTTAAATTTTAATAATAGAGACAATTTATAATTAAAAAGTACCAATTTTGGGCGTTGTAGGGGTGCTAATCCTTCCCTAAACGTAACCGACCACGAATCCCTTTTTATTATTAAAAAGAACGAATTTTTGGTTAAAACGCAGATCAGTTTATCTTTTAATTGATGTTTTCTTAAAAACTCTTTCAAAAGATATTTTTTAGGTATTCGACCTACCTGACCCAAAAGGCCGATGGCGACTCACAAATTATTTTCAAAATTATTTATTCACATCAATTTCCCCGCCAAATTTAATATTTCGTGCCCGGACGAAAACCGGTTACGACAAGATAAATGCAGGTAAAGTAAAAAAAATGGTTCTTTTTAATTCGATGTAAACATATTAAACTTTGTTAAACTTGGCAAATTAAATTCCAGTTTCTGAGAATCATGCAAGTAATGCAAAATAGAACACGGTGCCAAGTAAATGAACTACCGTGGACCATTTATCTGAAGTTGAAAAACAGGACTAAACTTCACAATGTTGTCTTTACAGCTCAAAGACTTCATATTGCGGGTGTGTACAAAGGTGAAGCTGATAAGATTCTCCAAGTTAAAAGAGAAGAAGCCGAAGCCGAATCCAAGTACTTAGGTGGCGTCGGTGTGGCCAGGCAGCGTCAGGCAATCACAGATGGGTTGAGGGAGAACATATTGGACTTCTCTCACAAGGTGGAAGGCACCTCAGCCATGGAGGTGATGGATCTCATCATGATCAAACAGTACTTCGACACAATCAAGGACCTCGGCAATTCCTCAAAGAACACGAACGTGTTTATTCCCGATGGACCTGGTCATGTTAAGGATATCGGTGAGCAGATCCGGAATTGGCTGATGGAGGCATCTAGTGCACAACTAAATGTTGAATGAATATCAAGACAAAGGATCTAACAGGTTGGTCTTTGTGTTTAGATCTTTTACTTTGTCAGTGATACAAACAAGTCAAAGATTATTTGCTTTTGATGGACCTATGGCTCAGCCTCTGCAGGCCGTAGTGACCAACTCTTCTGGCCATTGGCAGTGGGTCGCAGGTGAGGGTTCGTTTAATGCATTTCCTTGGAGTTTTGGGCCAATGGGTAGTTTGGTTTTCGAGGTAAACACACAGCCTCTTTAATTATTCCCCACAAAATGCATACCATTATAGTTCGGAGACATTTTTTCTAGGAAAATAAATTCCACTTTTTTCTTGCATGTAAGATTCTTATGAAAATATATTAAATTTCCGATAAATGAGCTTTTATATAGATGTAAAATGACGTCGTTTTGGTAAATATTTTTTTTAAATACGTCATTTTAATGTCGTTAACTATTTAACAACGAGTGACAAAAAATCTAATGTATTAAGTTTAATGATGAAATAAAAAAAATTTAATAAGCAAAATATAAAAGACAATAAAGTTAAGTGAGGAGATTTGTAACCTACCCTATTACATATATATTCACCTTCTTTCCTTTGTGTTAAAAAAGTGCACTTTACTTTTTAACTGTTAGGTGGAAATCACAAATTAGGTACAGTAAAAAGCCGGCAGAAGCAAGATATGGAAGTCCAATCAAAGCTTTTTGAAGGTTTTAACCTAACAGGTGAAAGTAAAAATGGTTTTGGACCAATGTGAAAAAACAGTCCCATTTGATAATTTAAATAAAAATATAAAATCAGTAAAAGAAAGTGTAATTAGGGATGGGCATCTAACCCGAACCCGACAGGTTTCGATTAGATCCGACCTAATCGGGTCGAATTTTTTTTACAAAAATTTGGGTTCGGGTTGGGTCGGGTTTTTTTATGCGGTGTTCGAGTCGGGTTCAGGGTGAAAAAATTTGACCTGACCCGACCTGGAAAAAATATATAATTTTACTTTATATATTTAAGAATAATTACAATAATACCCCTCTATTTTTTTTCAATTTAGGCACTTTTTTATTGAATAAAAATAATTTTTTTTATTATTTCGGGTCGAGTCGGGTCGAATCGAATTTTTTAAACTATCTATCGGGTTTGGTCGGGTCGGGTGAAAAACTAATTTTGTCGGGTCGAGTCACGGGTGGAGATCCCCTTCTTCTCGGGTCGGGTCGGGTCGGGTGAACCAAAAACCCGACCTAACCCGACCCATGCCCATCCCTAAGTGTAATCATGAAATTAGGAGAATGTAAATTATTTTGTTTGTAATGAGTGTATGAACATCATTATTAGTAGGGCAATGTAGTTGGGGGATTGGTAGCTTTTGGACTCATATTAATTAGATCTTTAGTGACATTTAAATAATGTAGAATAATTCTTTTTTTTTTCTGGTTTTGAAGCTTTGTCTTGATCAATTCGTATCGTACGTATATTTTGACGAGTGAATCTCTTAATAGAGATCTTTTACATACACAAAATCTCGAACTCGAGACGTTGCTTGAGAGCTATCAACGTGCTTACTACTTAAACCAATTCCTGGTGAATAACTTTTTTTTTAATTATTAACTTTATCATTTTCTCCTTATTTTTTTATTTTATGGAATTAACTGAAATATAGCATAACAGTTAAGTCGGTAGATATGTTATTATTATGTTATTTAGATCAATTTGATAACACATAAAAATTTGTACGATAAATTAGATATGAAAAAAAAATAAGAATTAAAATGATTGAAGTAATGTGTATTTTAAAGTTTAACCTTCGCTTTCCACCTTTCTTTACCCAATTATCTTAAAACTAAAATTTGAATTCTAGAATTATCAAGGTAAATACATTATTTGTAATATTAATTTCGTCCAACTCAATTTAAAAAATGTATAATAAGATCTACAAATCCAATCCATATTTGTATTGATCATTTCTCTTTTGCTATTTTTTTTTGTTAAAGTTAAAAATTAATATTGAAAAAAATATTATTCGTGACCCGAACCCACAACCCGACATGTTCCGACTCAACCCAATCTGGTCAGATTTTTTTATTATAAAAAATTAACTTTATAAATAAATTTTAGGGTGCGTTTGGTTCACGGACTTTAAGATTACCAGTGGGAATAAAAGATTACCAGGGAATAGGATTACTGGGAATGTTGTATTTTGTGTTTGGTTGGTTTAGCAGGAATGTAAGATTACCGTGTTTGGTTAAAGGAATAAAAGATTATTGGAATGTATATTTGACCAAATTGTCCTTGTTATATATTTGTATAATATTACAAATTGTAAAATATTTATATATTTTCTTTAAAAAATTAAATTCATAATATTTATATAATTTTTTTACAAAATTAAAAATATAAAAAAGGTTTAATGAAAGGGTAAAAATTTTTTTAACCCATGAACTTCATATAAAATTTTAATTATATATTTTTTTTTGTAAATCTAAAATAATTTAAAGATAAATTTGTAATTTAACATTCGTAGAATTTTTATTATTTAATGACAGAAGAATGATATTTTTGAAAAAAAATAAAAATTTAAGGACATTTTAGTCCAAAACACTGGTAATGTTACAATACCTAAAGGAAGGGAGGTAATGACATTCCTGGTAACATATCTCAAAAAATCTACTATTGGTAATAAAACATTATCGGGAATGAGATTCCTGACTAACCAAACATGGAAATGTGAGATTCCCATCAATCCTTGAACCAAACACCCCCTTAGGGTATTATTAAGGATGGTCACGTGATCTGAACCCGACATGTTCCAACCACCCGATCGGGTCATTTTTTTAAAAATTAAGGTTCGGGTCAGGTTCGAGTTAGGGTGCAAAAAATCCGACTAACCCGACCCAAAAAATAATATAAAAATGCCTTATATATTTATAGATAATTACAATAATACCCCTCTCTATATTATTTTTTCAATTAAGTCCCTATTTATTAAATAAAATTAATAATTTTATATTATTTCGGGTTGGGTTGGTTGTTGGGTTTTATCTCAAAAGTCAGGTCACATTGTCCGAAAACCCGACCTATGCCTATCCCTGTATTATAACCTGAATCAACCGAACTATTCGAGCAAAAGAATTTGCTGGATTACCCTGCTTGACTTGACAGATTTGGCTCAATTTGGCTTGCATAATAACATCCATTGAAAATAAGAGCATAGAGATAAGATTAAAGGAAGAAAAAAAGGAAAGGGTCCACAAAGCAATTATTCATGAATACCGATGGCATATTACAATTATATATTTTTACGGATAACGACGAGTAAATTAACAAAAGAATGGTCCGAGAGGATGATCTGAGAGTATATCAAACTATAATAGAATCCTAGTTGCAACAAGACAACATCGAGATGAAGAGACCGGCGGGATTGTACCATACTGCCGATCAAACCGATTCTGCTTTAAATTCAAAAACAATCAACAACCTTATGAGTGGTATGGGGGAAAAAGAAAAGGTAGAAAAGCATGATATCAAGAAAGAATGTTTAATCATGGTGTAGCATTGAAAGTGTCAAGATTCTTGTAGAAAAAGGGCGGGTCCTCCCCTGTCCTATATACTAATGATTTATACTTTTCTTTCCCTTTTATCAAACAAATTAGTGGGATGGTGAACAAGAAGACCATACCATACTGGTCGAGGAAGAAGCAAAAAGCCGCCCCGCCTTCCTAGTTGGTGAGCAGTCAACATTGCTTGGCCTTGCCGACAGCTCCATTGTCCCTCCCTAAAATTCAAGTAGTAAAGGCACACAAAAAGGGTTGAGAAATCTACATTTATACTCTTCTGACTACATACGTATGAAGGTCGGTAGGTAGACGAGTCTATAATCGTGCCTGAAGAGTGAGTGTGAACCTGTGCTTTTGCCGGATATCTTGTTTGGAGTTTAACATAGTTTTAACATCGACAGGGGAACTGCTGCAGCAATGGTTTCTCGCAAAGTTTTCCCGGGATTGTCCATCGGTGGTGTATAACAAAGAGTGATACGATGATCCTTGAGAAACCGAAGCATGGGACAGCACAATTTAGGGTTCATTCTCGAGAACCTTTTCACCTATTACTTGCACAGCACGTTTACAAAAACCTACAAGTCTATTCGCGGATTTGCAGTTTTTTGTCAAAAACCTATAAAATCTGAGTCCAATGCATTCACATGTTTACCGTGCAGCCAACCTACCATATATTTTATACGCATAATATGTATTTTTATTAATGTGTTAAATTCGAAATTTTGACATTTTCATCTTCTAGTAAAATATTGCCCCAAATAACATTTCATAGTTGATTGCATCATGCATGGATACATGCCCATGAGTCCATGACAACCAAAATAGTAAAGAAACTTTTGATATATGGAACTATATGAATACCACTGATACCACTAACCTGCTGAGTTAGTCAACAATGCTCACAGAAATATAGAGCCTACAAAATCAGGTCAAGTTCGTTGTGATATCCCTATCAGCCATTGTGTGCCTCCCAAAACCGACAGGCCTCTTTGCTTCTTCTTTGCTCAAAAACTTTATAGCAGCTATATTGATAGCCCCGCAAAAGCTTCAATATTCAGTTTTTACATTAAAAGTTTGAAAAGAAAAGGAGAAGGCACAGCCAGAAAGTAACAATGTCACCATAATTGGAATGTTTGAAAGACAAGCTACCGATAATGATGGGATTAAGCCAGCTAAAAGAAAGAAAATATCTGATAGATAAACGAAGAGAGAGGACGAAAAAGACCGTTTCTTCTTACTTTTCCTTGACTACGATGAGACAGACGTCCACTCCTCGTAGTGGGGTTCACACATTGTCGAAACCAGACAGCCCTAGTCATATTGGCAAGAAGTGCCCTCCAGCAACGAAGATACGCTCCCAAGTTCATCTGAGGTTGACCCTTTTGGTTGGAAAATAAAATCTGATTCACCACAAGCTCAACTGAATATCTGCACCAACAATGATACTTGTAAGTTTCTTGACAAATTCTATTTGCATTTCAAGGCCTCTTATTGCAGTAAGCATAGTTCAAACTCATTTTGATCAATATACAGGCCTTAATTCCCGTAATCGGTGAATTTTCTCCAAGCAATAGTTGGTTCCATGAGATTCCTTATCTTTTCCGGATTAGAAATACAACATGATCCCCGTTAAATTACACACAGGGAAAATATGGAGGGAAAACAATATTAGAAATGTCAACATTCCAACAATGGAGACACCAAATTGGGTCATGTTCTTATTATTTCCTATACCAGGCACTGTCATACTAAGTTTTCAAGACAGAGGCAATAAAATGGATCAGAATCCTTCCAAGAATCTTACTGATATGTCAGAACAACATGAATCTGGTTAAGTCATCCTTGTACGAATTACAGTTCGGCTTACGAGATCTTGAAAGTTCATGATCTTCTCCACCGACTCTGTTTTGGCTACAGCCATTGTGCATAACAAGACAGAAAATGGATCCAACACTAACATAAACAAACCATATATTATCATGCATCTAGTTGAAGTCACCATTAACTCCGTGAAAATGGTTGTAGTTCATTGACAGTTTAATACAAAGGAAAAAAGAAAGAATGGGTGGGTAATAAAGTGATATTTCATTCCAATCATGCAATTATGAAATTCTAACAAGCATTCTCCGGCTACTACATCACTATCTATATGTTTCCTGGTTTAAAATTAAAACAGAAGTAAAGATGGACAAAAAAATAAAAGAAAGACAATGAATTCGATCAAATTCTAAAGGTTTACAATTCTACAAGAGTTAAAAGAAAAGCATTACACTTATGGCGCATCTGCAAAAACTTCATTGAGGACATCATCCTCACGGCCGATCATGAACAGATCTGCATCTTTTTCTTCCTCATTGGAGAAATCCCTCCTGCCAAGCTTTGAATGAGCTGCAATGAATATCATCTTCTGAGCCCTTTCAAGGCCTATCCGTGAGTGTCGGTGGACACAAATCCACTTCATCAAAGACCAGTTATGTTTAAACCTGCTAGATGTTGCATGTAGGAAGATAAGCCTCACCGCAACCTTTCCTAATGATTTGTATTCGCTAAGACATGTTTCCCAAACCAGCCTACTGCTCTGTGGGTTAGCAATTTTCATTTTTCCAGTCACGGAGTCTCGCTGTTTAACCTGAACAGCTTGAGCATATAGTGGCTCTAACCCTTCTGATCTCCATTTCATGAGCTCCATCAGTGCAACATGTGCTTCTTCCTTGGTAGCCAAACGAGTGATGAGCTCGTCAACATCCTTCTCCTGCTCACGAGTCAAAAACCGGAAGGGTGGAAGGTATTTTTCGCTTGTATCCCGTATCAAGTAAAGTGGATCAAGTATAAATGCAGCTGACCATGCAGGGTGGTAGTTCTTTCTAAATCTCTTTTCAACAATTTTCTCAACAGGAGCTTCAGCTACGTTGAACTTGGTACAACATTCCTTCACTTTGACCCTCAACTCCTCCCAAAGAGGGAGGCATTGCCCAATCAATGGCCTTTCCATCTCAATCTCATGAGCCATACCTTTGATCAACTTAACCAGTGCATAAACTGCCCCTAAATCATTCCAAAACCCTTCATTTTGGACAATCCCAGCAACTTCCCTAGCGACGGGATCCTCGATACAAATCCCCTTGTAAGAATCATCCAATACGAGCATCTGAAGCACTTGCGAACAGCTAAATATGTCCTCCATCATTGCAAAAGCACGTGCAATATTACTGCTGCAATGACATTTGTTTGAAGGAACCCGTATCAACCCAGCAGACTCAAGCTCCTGCATACTATACTTTTGAAACCTGTTTCTAACTTGCAAGTTATTGTCAAGAAAACTCGCTATCTTTAAGGAATTCTCGGTGACAGTCCTGAAAAGGGGAAGCTCTTTGCTAAAATCCTTTATCAAACTAATAAAACCTTGAAGCTGACAAGATAGATTAACCATCCAATGATTCTGAATCTCCAAATTCCTCAATGCCTTCGCCTTATGATCCGAAACAATCCCTACACATTTCTGAATACCACTTCCGGATATCCTCATTATCGTCTCCCACAAGACCTCCTCAGCCTGCTTGGAAGTAACCGGTTCATTGGTAAAGACCACCTTCTGGTACAAGCTGCTCCCATTTGGAAGATTAACACTGAATTTAACAAAATTCTCCTCCACGCAGCCAGAGCTGCTAGTAGTACCAGTATAACTACTGCAACCACAACAACTTCTACTCTTCCACCCATCAGAAGCAACTTGAAAGTACATTGCATCCCTAATTCTAGCCTCGGAATCGCTCTTCGCCTCGTGGAACTTATTATCGAGCCGAGCACCTGAGAGGTCCCTTCTCGAAATAGCTGGCATCCCAACCTGGTTAAGGAAAGCCCGAAACTTTGGGTGCTCCAGGCTAGAAAAGGAAACCGAGCCACAAGACTCATAGAACCACTCAGCTAATAAATCAAGTGCAGAATCTATCTGGCCCTTGCTTAAAGCTAGACCTGGGGAAATTTTAGGACTCTTAAGCTTCTTAATACTATCTTCCAACATTGCCAAGGCACCCAAATCTTCTTTCCCACCAGATAGGACCAAACGATGCTGATTCAACCCAGCATTGTATTTGTTATTACTATGGCTCGAGTAGCCCAGAAAACGAGTGGACTCGACTATAGCCAACGAGTTGCTATTACAATTATTATTATTATCATCGTCATCGTTACCGTTATTACTAACTTGGATTTGCAAAACGGAGACAGCCGCCGCCGATGGACTTTGCTTTCGATGATTATGATGATACGAAACAGAAGAAGGGGAAGCTAACGAAGATATAGGCAACGGAGACAACGACGAACCGGGTCTCAAACCGGAGCTGAAATTGGGGCAGGTGCCGCGTTTCAAGTGCTCGGAAGCCGTCCGGGACGGGTTCGAGGCGGAGAAAACGGCGTCGCAGAGGGAACACCTGAGTTTAACGGCTTTGGGGAGGCTGCTCTCCGGGTTCCGAACGAGGATCGGTTCGAGGTGAGCCCAGTACCAAGCTCCCTTACCCTTGGTGGCCTTGGTTCGAACCGTGATGAGGCCCTGGTATCGCTTGTTGAGGGCTTTGGCAGCTGGGTCTTCAGTGGAAAAAGATGAAGGGTCAGTTGGAGGCAGAGAGACGGTGGAAGCCATTGGAGAGTTATATATATATGATAAGGTGGTGTATTGGTGTCAGTTAAAGGTGGCGGTGGAAAGTGAAGACATGGCTTTAAAGGGTGAATATATGCAGAAGGAGGGATGGGCATAAGAACGACAGAAACAAAGGGGTATATATATGCAGAAATGAAGAGGAAATTAGGGGTCTATTCCCATGTTATAGTTGTGATGTCAAACTATTTTTTTACCATCCTTAGTAGGGTTGCAATTTAACCCGAAAACGATCAATTTTTGGTTCGATTTGATCTGATAGAGTATATATTTTAAAAATAGTTTAGATTCGAGTTGGATTGAATTTTTAAAGGATGAGATCACATCGATTTGGGTGGAGAATGAAAAAATTCTGACTCGAGATAATAATATAATTTTCTTAAAAAATATTATTATTTTAATTAAATCTTTATTTTATGCTGGGTAGGGTCATATCGGATTTATACAATAAAAATTTGGGTTGGGTTAGAGTCGAGTGAAAATATGTATTTTTTGGGGTTTGATTCAGATGGAGTATACATATTTTCATATCAAGTCTGGTTGACTAAAAACCTGACTCTAACCCGACCTTAACTTGACCCGTTATCATCCCTACCCGTTATCATCCCTAATCCTTAATTACGTTTTCTTAAGGGTAAAGTACACACGTGATCCAATTATAGGACGTTATTTTGTTAAGTAGATTGACTATTAAAAGTTATAAATAGTCCTCCAATTATAGGACGTTGATTTGTTGAGTTCTTCAACTATTAAAAGTTAAAAAATTGTCATCCGACTACTTCTACGCTCTAAACTCATCATTTTCCGTTAAAAATATTTAGATATCTAATAAAATAATGTCCTATAATCGACGAATTATTATGTGTTTTACATTTTTTTAATAATATGTGATAATTATAATATAATTCTTATTTATATTTTATATTACTTTTTGGATTGGCTTGTCATTACGTTATTTAAATTTAAAATTTTAAAAGACGTGGGGGAAATTCCACAAACAACTTTCTTTCTTAACTAATAAAAAGGGGGGGGGGAATGTAAACAAAACAAGTTTACACTTTGAATTCTAAATAGATATAAATTGAATATGTTAAGTAATTTCAGTAATAAAAAAAATTACGTTCTTTTAAGAAGTATCAAATTTGAACAGTCGTTCGTGTTTATAGAGTATATGTGTTATTAAACGGTTAAAAATATTTTGAATATATACTACATTTTCATCGGCCTATACTATTCAAAAAAAAGTAAATAAAATTTAAATTCGATGAGTTTTGACCTAATTTTATTTTATAAGGGTATGTGTGTTATTAAAACGTTTTAAAAATAAGGGTAAACTACACAAATGGTCCTTTGACTATAATATGTTATTTTATTAAGTCCCCGACTATCAAAAGTTACAAAATGATCCCTTGATTATAAGATGTTGCTTTGTTGAGTCCCCGACTATCAAAAGTTACAAAATGGATACCTAGCTATTCATTATGTTCCAAGTTCGTCCTTTTCCGTTAAAAATTGATGACATCCTAAGCTGGATGTTAATCTACTATATGTGATATGATAAAATTTGATCCCAAAATCTCAAATGACTATTATATCTCAGACAACAAATTAAAATCTAGCTGAAATTGTCGTCAATCTTTAAATGGAAAAGGACGAGTTTGAAACATAATGAATAGTTAAGTGACCATTTTGTGACTTTAATAGTCGAGAGACTTAACAAAATAACATCTAATAGTTAGGGACTCAATAAAATAATATACTATAGTTGGGGGACTATTTGTGTACTTTAAAAATAATATAAAACTTTTTTTAAACATTTTATGGGTTTCTTAAAATTTAATTGGATTGTAAATCAATTGGATCATAGAAACTGTCTGTTTTCTAAAACCAAAGCCCATCCAACCGAAAGAGCCGAATCCAACCTAAAAGGGGAAGGAAACCATTAAGGAATTCAAAATTTTCAAGACTCGGAATTTACAGCTGCTAGGGTTTTGCTCAGGTTTTGAGGGCAGGCAGGTGGTGTTTTCTTCTCTAATCAACTCGTTTTGTGCTTGAAGTCTCTTTTTTTTTCCTGGTAAGTTTCTGTTTCTTTTTGTTCTATGTTTTGGGTAATTTGTTTGCCTTTGTTGTTCATATGTTTTTGAATTTTTGTTAGCATCATTATGAGTTACGACCTTTAGATTTTACCCCAATTTTTATGGCAGATTTGTACTCTATGGGGCTGCGAAGCAAAGATTTAAGCTTCTTACAATCCGAGAATGCGGCGGAAGATGATGTTGATGATGCAATGGATCCTCACAGTGAGGAAGAAGAGTCTGAATCCCAATCAGAATCGGAGCAGGAAGACGTGAAGCTGATGGAGCCGTCGAAGACAGCCGTATACAATCGAGAGGGCCTCGTTGAGAAACTCGAAGACATCAGCTGGCCGGAAAACGTCGACTGGATGCACAAGCTTTCCCTCGATATCGATCAAGAGAAAGAGGTGGACGTGAACGATGACTTAGCGAGAGAGCTCGCTTTCTACACACAGGCGTTGGAGGGGACGAGGCTGGCGTTTGACAAGTTTCAATCAATGGGGCTGCCATTCCTTAGGCCACCGGATTACTATGCAGAGATGGTTAAGACGGATGCTCATATGCAGAAGGTCAAGGGCAAGCTCTTGGCGCAGAAGAAACAGATCGAAGAGGCCGAAGAGAGGAGGAAAGCAAGGGAAGCCAAGAGGATTGCAAAAGAGGTTCAAGCTGAGAAGTTGAAAGAAAGAGCTAAGCAGAAGAAACAAGAGATTGAGGAAGTTAAGAAGTGGAGGAAGCAAAGGCAGCAGAGCGGCTTCAAAGACGGAAAAGATAGTATGCCGGACTTGGGTTTCAGAGAAGGTAAAGCATTCGAGAAGTCGAGCAAGAAAAGGCCGGTGGTGTCACCGGGCGATCGATCCGGAGGGAAGGCAAAGCAAGGCGGTGGAAAGGGTAATTTTAAGAATAAGAAAAACAGGGAGCTCCGGGATTCAAAGTTCGGGTTCGGAGGAAGGAAAGGTATGAAGAAGCAAAACACTGCAGAAACAACCAACGATTTTCGAGCCTTCAACAAAGGCAGTATTGCAGGAAACAAGAAAAGGAAAAGGTGATTTTAGCTAGGACTTGTTCTCAGTTCTTCAGGGCAATTTTGTTATGCATTTGCTTAAATTTTAAGTTGTTTCATCTTTAACTATGTTTTCGATACATCTCTCTTGCATTGTTTGTGTAATGGCTACATTAATTTGTTATCTTGATGCTGGAATATTATACGATGGTAACCGAGAACCGAGATCAACCACTTGAGTAACACAAGTCGTACATCGCACCAGCCACCGTTGGATAGTCAATCTCGGGTTCGATTTTTCCATAAATCACAAGTCATACTTTGAGTCATTAGTATACAGGGCACTTAATCAAGGGGAATGTATAAGGACAACACAAGAAAAATGCCATACACTGCTAAGGAACTCATGCAAATCGTAACGATTAGAAATCCTACCTAAACCTTACAAGACGGTACAATTAGGGATTGGAATCCAGCATGATGTAAACCTACATTCCGGTTTCCCCTCGGTAAGAAGATAAAGAAGTTATATTGGTTTTGGACAGCTTGATCCGGGTCTGTATGTGCATCCTATCAACGGGAAATCTTACCTTGACAGGCCTTCTGATTCATCTTCGGTTGAGGATGACTCGTTCTCGATAGCAGAATTTGTGTAGCCCTATCCAGACTTGTTGTCAATATCAGAATTTGTATGGCCCTGGATAGGATTCAATTTACCTAAACTGCCTCCGATGAACTGCGAGGTGAGAATTCGCATGACTCCAACATAGGACACCTTAACCTCTGCAGGCATTGTTGGCAAAGAGGTAGGACTCACAATTGCTGTCCCAGGTTTGGCTCTCTGTTTCCTATGGTTCTGTTCCCGCTGTTGACCCAGTAGGAAACTGCCGACAACCACCTGTTCATTTGAAACAGACCGAGGAAGACAGTACTAAACAATGACAGTAATCCTCGAACAATCTACTATTGTCCAACTGGTCAGGCAGCAGCATTCTACATCGACAGTACATGGAAATCTCGTGTCTAATTTAATTTTTTTTAACCATGTAATCACCTTCACCTGCACAGGACCAGCAGCCAGCTATCAACAGACCCCCCCTACGAGAATGGGACCATCACGGGCCACGGCCTGCCAATGAAATACTCATCCCACCAGATCTAGTCTTCGTTACACCATTGCTAGTAGGCATAAACAAACCGGACACAGAAAGGATCTCAAAACATCCCTGGACGACAAATACTCATCCTCTTCCCCGTTTCCTGGTGTAAGACATATATCGATCTTACGACGATGAGTATTGATTGCCCTTGAATTCTCTTCTTATGGTTTTGAGCATGAGTTCATTCCAAGAATCAACCGGTCCTGGCTGCACTAGTGCGAGCAATCTTAAGGATGAAACTTTCCGTTCGGATCACGTAGTCATTTTTTTGAATTAGGGTTGGGATGCCCATCGTGGCGGTACTCGAATATTCGGGTAATGTTCATCGGCCACAACTTGACCTTGTTCGTTACCATTCTCCACCAATTCGCTAGGTGCAAGAGGCTTATCCTTTCAACCAAATACATACGGCTTCCACAGGTACAATGTATTCAATTAAAAGCAAATACACATGTACGTTTGTGTGTACTATCAAGAAGCCCTACATCCACGTCTTTTTATGTTGATCTTTAGGCTGTAAAGTTGCCTTCATTTACAAGAGATAGAGTCACTCTAAACATTATACTCCATGATAGAAAGTCAAAGAGACCTAGTTGCAAGTTGACGATGTCTATTAAAGAGGGTAAACAACACATTTAGTACTTAAACTATCAGTTTTGGTTTATTTTAGTACTTAAATTTTTATTTTTTTTCAAAATCTTACCTAACGTTTAGTTTTATTTCATTTTAGTACCCGTCGTTAAAAACTTACGCATTTAGCACATAAACCTTAATTTTGGTCTGTTTTAGTACCTAAACTTTCATTTTTTTTAAAGCTTAACGTTAAATTTTGAACGGGTATTTGAAGTCTAAATGAAACAAAAAACAAAGTTTTTAACGGCGGTGTATTAAAATAAAACAAAGACTAAATTTTAGGAATGATTTTGAAAGAAAATGAAAATTTATGTACTAAAACGGATCAAAATTGATAGTTTAGATATTAAATGTATAATTTACCCTATTAAATAAATGATGCATTGTCCCATTATCATATAGAATCTAAGATCTTCCTACACTTTCAAGACCTAAGTATTTGGTTCATTGCATGCATCCTGAGGGACGTAGCTATTTATGAGTAAAAGGATCGACCCGGGTCGTAGATGTGGTTTTGATGTGAGTCTAGTCTATCAACGATCATTTTTTACATATATAATGATTCGAGCATGAAATATTGTTTAAGCGATGTCAAGTTGCTTACTACTTGAATCAATCTGTCGGTCAAATCTATAATATTTTAATATAATAATATTTGCTAAATTAATATTATTTTCTAATGAGGACAAAATGGATATAATTTAAAATAAGCTTTGGTTAATTTGAATGGATCTAAATGCTGGGGGTTTAGCCACTGATAGAGTGACAAATGTGAATATGTTAATGATCAACATGGGGAGGCTACTGTTCCCAACAATCCTCGAAGAATTGTCCCTGGAAACAAACAAACAAACAAAACATCACGTGTCTTTTTGTCCATTCTTAATCTTTCCAAACTGCAAAATATAATTAATTAATTAGTTAATTAATTAATTAAATCGTGTATAATTTATCATTTAGATTTTCTTTACGATAATCATTAGTTTTAACTAGAGCTGGGTATATGGGTTAAGGCCCGCGGGCTACCCGTTTAACCTGTGACCCGTGCGGGCTTCGGGTTTCAAAAATTGAAGACCGTTTAAATTACGGGCTTTTTAGCCCGGACCATTAAACCCGCTAAAGCCCGCTTAATTTAAAATTTATAAAATTTTAGAAAAAATAAACTTAAAGAATTTTATAGAAAAAGAAAATAAATTACTTATAAATATGATGTTACTTATAATTATTATAGTTCTTAAATTTATTAGGGTGTTTGTCATAATTTTACCGTTGTTTGATATTTTTTTCATTTATACATCATTATCATTTTGGTATTTAAAGTTTTTTTATTTAATTATGACCTTTATTTTTTTTCATGAAGTATGTTATCCATTTTGTTCTTTAATTATAAAAAGTCACGTGATATTCTAATAATATATCACATGACACGTAATATTTGGATTAAAAATAAAAAAGAAAAGTAAAATAAAAAATAAAAAATATACTTTTCAACTTTTAAAGACTTTTATAAAATAAATATATTTTAACAAATTAATACTTATATTTTATCAATTTTAGTATAATTGTATCTTTCAAATTTGCTCTTATACTGTAAGTATTTTATTTTATATTTTCATATTATGTTTTAGTATTTCTCTAAAGTATCCATAAAATACAATTATTAGAAACACTTGACAACTTTCTTGCTAGATTTGTATAATGTTTGACTTTGTTAAATTTTTAAGTTTGAATTTCTACTTTCAGACACTTCTGTGTATTCATATTATAGCCTTGAATAATTGTGTTTTATAAAAGTATAATGTGGTTATTGTTTTATTTATTTTTCAATTTGGTGATATAAGTGAAAATTATTTTTTTAATTTGAGTTTAAGTAATTATATCATTATATATATATATATTAATGATTAAAAAATTAAAAAAAATATTATTTTATAATCATTTTCGGCTATTTAAAATAAAATTTAAATATTATTTATTATTTTGACAGTGTTACCTTCCTTTTCAAGTTGCTCGATCATTTTTAAAAGTGTAGTAAGTTAAAACATTATTTTTTATTGTATTTAAAGCATTTAAAATTATTTTTATTAAACGGGCCGCGGGTAAGCCCGTTTAGCCCGCGGGTTAAATGGACGGGCCACGGGCCTTAAAATTCAAAACCGTTTATGAATGCGGGCTTTTTAGCCCGCACCGTCAAAACCCGCGGGCTAAACGGGCGGGTAGCCCGTATACCCACCTCTAGTTTTAACATTAATCTTCATTTCTTAATTTGGGTAAAATACAAAAATGGTCCCCCGATTATAATGTACTATTTTATTAAGTCTCTCGACTATTAAAAGTTATAAAATAGTCATTCGACAATAGAATGTTGTTTCATTAAGTCACTCGGCTATTAAAAGTTACAAAATGGTCACCCAACTATTAATTATGTTCCAAACTCGTCATTTTCTATTAAAAAATTGACAGTTGTCTATGCTGAACGTTAACATGATAAATGAAATATTATAATTGTTTGAGATTCTGAGATCATATTTTATTATACCACAGTTAGTAGGTTAATGTTTAGTTAACAAATATCATTAACTTTTTAACAGAAAAAAGACGAGTGTGAAACATAATGAATAGTAGGGTAATCATTTTGTAACTTTTAATAGTCGAGGGACTCAACAAAGCAATAATGTGTAATAGAAGGACTATTTTATAATTTTAAATAGTCAATGGACTTTATAAAGCAGTATCCTACACTCAGGAGACTATTTGGGTACTTAACCCTTTTAAGTTTTGTTTATTTTAAAGAAAAATATAACTGCTTCGCTATTTATATAAGTGCTTCAGCGTCCAATGATCTGCATAAGCTTTCACTCCCTCCATTAACCTTCATCTCTTCAAACCCTCTCTCTGAAAAAAAATATCTTCAAAAGGGTCATCTTGCTTTTCATTTCTTTCAATTCGATCCCCTTTTCTTTTCCAAATGGCGCTCGAAACTTGGCTGACGAGAGTGAGAAAAACCATATCCAACACCCTGGACACTGCAAAATCTTCAAGACATAAATCCAACGTCGGAGTTTTATCGTTCGAAATCGCCGGCCTCATGTCGAAGCTTCTCCATCTATGGAACTCGCTTTCAGACGACACCGTAATTCGCCTCCGTAACGAATCGATATCGCTAGAAGGAATCGGCATGATCGTCTCCGACGACGAGTCATTCTTGCTGGATTTAGCCTGTGCCGAAATCACAGAAAACGTCAGGCTGGCAACCAAGTCTGTTTCCAGGATAAGCAGCCGGTGCCACGACACCAAGCTCCGATGTTTCAGTCGGTGGTTCAACGTGTTCGCCGACTCGGGCCACGATTTTCAATGCTGGGTTTTGAGTGACAAGGGCATGGAAGGTAGGAACAAGAAGATGGAAAAGCTGGTCAGCGGTACTGCAACTCTGTGTAAACAAATGGAGGAGTTGTCCATAACGGAGAACAGTCTGAGAAAGCACTGTTGTGTTTCGATCAAAGAGCAAAAGCTTATCGATCTGCAGCAAAAGCTCCTATGGCAAAAACAAGAGGTTAAGTGTTTAAAAGAGAATTCCTTATGGAGCAAAAGCTTCGACATGGTTGTTTCCATGCTGGTCAGATCAGTTTTCACTATTCTCCAAAGGGTCAAGCTTGTTTTTGGCCTCGGCCATGGCTATTATCCATCGTCTTTGCCTCGAAGCCCTTCGGCTTCTGCAACCGTGTACCCCACCGTAAACCCGAACACATACAACTTCGTATCGGGACCATTGAAAGGTGGTCGTAAAATCAATTTTTTCGAATCGAATTCAAAGCTCCTAAAGCCTCCTTCGAGTACATTAGGCGCATCGGCGTTATCGTTGCATTATGCAAACTTAATCATCGTGTTAGAGAAGATGATGAATACGCCACAGTTGGTCGGCATCGAAGCAAGAGATGATCTTTACTCGATGCTTCCGAGCAGTATCCGGTCATCGTTGAGGGCGAGGCTAAAAGGAGTCGGGTTCACGGCGAGTGATCCGGTGCTTGCAGGCGAATGGAGAGTGGCCCTAGGTAGGATATTGAGCTGGTTGTCGCCATTGGCACACAACATGATCAAATTGCAAAATGAAAGGAGCTTGGAGCACCAGAATTCGTTGCCCAGAACAAATGTGCTGCTTTTGCACACACTTTTCTTTGCGAATATAGACAAGACTGAAGCTGCCATTACCGAGTTGCTGGTGGGTTTGAATTACATTTGGAGATTCGAAAGGGAAATGACAGCCAAGGTGTTGTTCGAATGCAGTTAAGGATAAATTCTAGCCCATTGATCTGGTTATTGAACGTAAATGACATGAATTGGATGGGAAATTTCAGCAGCATGATGTTTCACCTGTTGCTTGTATACATAATCATGTGAAATTTCAGCAGCATGATATATCACTTGTTGATTTACTTCCCTCTTTACCATTAAAAGTTAAAATGATCCCCGACTCTAAGAAGTTGTTTTGTTGAATCCCTCGATTATTAAAATTTATAAAATGGTCACCCGACTATTAATTATGTTTCAATCTCGTTATTTTATGTTAAAATTTTGACGGCAATCTGAGTTGTACGTTAACCTACTTACTGAGATATGATGAAATTTGATCTCATAATCTCAAATGACTATCATATCTCAGTCGAAAGGTTAGCGTCCAACTCAGACGCCCGTTAATTTTTAACGAAAAATGATGAGTTTGAAACGTAATGAATAGTTGAGTGACTATTTTGTAACTTTTAATAGTCGAAGGACTTAACAAATCAAATCTATATAGTCGAGGGATCATTTTGTAATTTTAAATTATCAAGTAAGGGACTCTTTAAAGTATTATCCTATAATCAGGAGACCATCTGTATATTTTATCCTAAAATTATTTACCGATTGATTCTTAATTTGATTATCACTATTAATGATACATAATAATTTAAAGACCGTAAATTCGAATATTCTAATATGATTACCGAACAATTGTTTGTATTTCATTGCAAATAGTCCAAACTCTGACCCAGCCCTTATGGAGTAGTTCTTGAAGCCCATCTTTATTTAGTCTTGGACTGGAGTTTATTTTACGCATTTAGTAACTAAATTATTAATTTTGATACATAAACTTTCAATATTATTTAAAATTCATACCCAAATTTTAGATTTTGTTTCATATTAATATCATTGTTCAAAATTTAACGTTAAATTTTGAAAAAATTAAAAGTTTAGGCACTGAACGCTTTAAGTTTTTAATGGAGGGGTGTTAAAATGAAACAAAAACTAAACGTTAGGTATGATTTGGAAAAAAAATTAAAATTTAGGTACTAAAACATATCAAAACTGATAAATTAGGTATTAAATCCGTAGTTTACCCCTATATTTGTTTCCGGATTCAGTGTTAATTTATTTTATATTCACTTTGATGCTTAAATTATTATTTTATCATAATTTTATTTTAAAAATTAAATTTAATTATTTTAAAAAATAAGTTTTACTAAAATATAAACATCCAAATTACTTTTTTTTAAGTGTCTAAAGATATTAACTATGAGCATAACGATAATAACATCAATAAATAATCGCTCCAATTAACAACTCACCCAGGATGGACTCAATATATTATATTAAGAGGATAAATTTTTAAAATTGTTGAAAGGTATAAACTTATAAAATTCAAATAGACGAAAATAGATTTTTTATAAATCTTTTTATAAATATATATAATTTTAAATTTTCATAAAATAATTGAGCTCACCCGTCCCCTTCGATCCATCCTTGAACTTACCATACATGATACATTTACTATTACTCATATCATCAATCGCGTGATAATTTAAGTACCAAAATAAACTAAGATAAAAGTTAGAAGTACCAAGGCTAGAAAACGAAAATAGTTAAGGGTCATGAATTCAAACTTTGTGTTAATTAATAATAATAATAATAATAATGTTGCGAAATCCTAACCGTTAAACCACGAAATTGAAACCGAGCATCTAGTCGCAATTATGCCTAATGAAGTTGGTCACAACCACTGTAAGCCTTGGTTGACCTACCAAATCCAAAATCAAAGCCCTATCAATTCACAAATAAAGTTAGTTTAAGTGGTAAACGGTTTAATTCCGCTTAAGTAAAATCTTAGTTTTAAATCTTTGTGTATATAAAAAATTATTGTTGAGATATTTATCCACCAAAATTAAATACGCGACGTGGATCAATCCGACTTAATCATAACTTAATCATGACAAAACCTTATAACAAAAAAGTGCTATCAACTCTAAAATCTCTCTTTGACTTCAAATATTTGCAGTGCAATTCAACCTATCCTTTATTATTAGGCAAATTACATATTTAATATTTAAATTATTAGTTTTGATTTGTTTTAGTATTTAAATTTTCATATTTTTAAAAAAACATACCTAAAGTTTAGTTTTTATTTCATTTTAATATCTGTCGTTAAAAATTTAACGTGTTTAGTACATAAACTATCAGTTTTGATTCGTTTTATTTTTCATCCTCCGATCTCCATGGTCCACCGTCCAATAGACTTAAAACTGGACTATGTTGGTCGACTCGTCATATCTCGTGGTCCACTTTGGATTAGTCTTCCGTCCACCGAAGTTATGTCACGTCAGCCTGTTCATTAAATTTTTAGCGGTGGGTACTAAAATGAAATAAAAATTAAACGTTAAGTACTAAACACGTAGTTTACCCTTATTATTATTATTATTTGTTTAAAGGTAAACCAAACTTTTTATAGCTCAAAAGTGGTGCAGTTAGGAGGTTTGGTAATATAGCAAACTCGTCTGATCCACTTAGCATCCATCAATATAAAGGAAAAGATTCAGTTCAAAGTGGAACAAAGAAGTGACCATCGGAGCTGTTTAGGAATGGTGGAGATGGAAGCCAAAGCGGATGCTAATAAAAGGAAAATCAGGCAGCCACCTTCGGTTCCATTCCTATGGGAGGTGAGGCCTGGAATAGCAAAGAAAGATTGGAAACCGGCGGATTTTTCAGTTACTCCGACAACGTTACCACCTCCAACTCCAACTCCGATCAAGCTTATAGCTTCGGTACCCTTTAATTGGGAGGAAAAGCCCGGTACTCCGTTGCACAGCTTCTCACAGCCAGCGGTGGAGCCGGCGACTCTGCCTCCACCTCCAGCTTACTCTCCGGCTCATTTCAATGGCTGCATCAAAAATGATGAACAAGAGGCGTTCGAAATGGAGCTGGAAGCATTTGGTTTCAAAACAGATGATGCCTTTAGCTCTCCTCCATCCACGGCGGTTTCCACCATTTTTGCAGAGCAGAAAATTTCCTCCCCAGTTTCGGAAACTGATAGTGCGAGCAGCTATGCAACTGGCGCTGCAAGCCTTGCAGGGGCTTCTTTCTTGGAACGCCTGTTTCCACTGCTTTCACCTCGTTCCGGTTTCCTCGAACACGAGTCTCGGGCTCGAATAGATTTCGAGCTCGAGACTAATTACACCGTAGTCATACGGAGGCCACCGACACTTGAAGAGCTGATAATGATGAGCCGGAGGAGAAGCTATCAAAGAAAAGCTGCTCAAATAAGAGAGAAGAATATCTCTACGGTATTTCTTGATTTTCCTGTCCCTTAAGCTACTATAGAACAACTGGAAGTATGTCTAAAACTCAAACACAAATCTGTTACAGGAATTTCTCGAGGAAAGAGCTCCTGGATGCTGCATCTTCGGAACTGACATCGTTGAAGGATTGCAATTGAAGTTCCAACCAAGACTGAGATTCTTCTAGGACAGACCAAGAGGGCAGCCACCCTAAAACCAGTACATCAAGAAGATTCAAATCTTTAGTCTTATTTAATCATTATGTTCTTATGTATTTTTTTCATAATTTACCTCAATTATGATACAATAAAACAATGTTATGAGCTTGAATTTCATTTCATTCGAAGCGAATACAGTTTTCTTTAAAATGTACTTTATCTTGGAACATCTTGCTTCATCCCTATCCCTAACGTGCAATCAGGAAAATCATCGGATATTTCATGAATTACATTCGTGGAAATGTAGTGCTGCACCACCAACACCGATGAGTTCAGGGCGAAATTTGACGACACCAATGTATCCCCTAACGCCCCGAGCTCCGGGCAAGTACCCCAATCCGACAGTCCTTCGGTGATCGGAGACTTAGCTTCCCCTTGCCTTCTCCCTACTATGTACAAATCGAACACATTGTCGCCCAATGCTCTGATCCCTGCTATGGTTTCTTCTCCGTTGTGGACGGTCATTTCGGTGTAGTTTATGGCGTTATTGTCCATCGCCTTCACCTTTAATTCCTCTATGTGTTCGTCGTCGGTCAGCTTGTCTCGTTTGATGCTGGCGTTACTTTGTAGGACGGGGTTCGATGTATATTCTCCGGGGGAAAATCTTGCCACGGTTAGGTTTACAGTGGGGTGGCCGGCCATCCTACAAGCATAGGTTAATGCCTCCAGATCATCAGGGCCGCCTACGAATAACATGGCGATCTGCCGAGTGTAGTTGCTGGAGGATTTTTCTTCAAAGACTTTCGAGCTGATCCCTCGGTCGACGAACATGGCGACGGAGCACGGCGTGCTGATCAACACTTGGTTGTTCACGTTAGCGTAACTGGAGTTGCTGGCTCCCATATGACCGTCGGGTTTCACTTCCTTATGGAACGGTAGGAGGATGAGGTTGGCGCATTTGTCTTCCGCGAGGCTACATATGTCGACGTGCATGGTGGCGTAGGGGATATGACCGACATCGTATGGACCGTCACCGCGTCTTCCTTGTTCGACTTCTGGAAGTTCTCGAACGCACGGATGATGTTGGTAGTCTCCGTTTTCGCCCGGTTGAAACGAGCGCCATCGTCCTGGTTGCCTTCGTTGTGAACAATGAGCATCGCCGTGCTGGCTCGTTTCGAGAGCTCTATGAGATGGGTACCGAAGACGGAGAGGGGAGACTCTTTGGTGCCATGGGAAAGGTTGAGGATACTAAGGGTTCCCATTACATTTCGCATGGAGTGGACACATGCAAGGATCCTTAACTCTGTGTCTGGTTCCGACCCTCTGATGCTCCGATTCACGTGTGTCACGGTCTTCTTCGATGGCTTGTTGACAAACGCGATTATCGGTTCTATCAAACACGACATCACAAGCACCGCGAGCATCATCAATGGAAATGTCTGCTGGTTCAAAGCCTGCACGCACAAATCATAAAGATTTGTTTCGTAATTTGTTGAAATCAAGTTCAATTTATGAATATAAAAAGGAAGAAGAAGAAGAAGAAGATACCCCTATGTTGCGGCCTGTATTAAGGACGATGAGGGACAAAACACCTTTGGTATTCATAAGCAACCCAAGGACCATACTGTCTGTACATGACATCTTGTACTGTAATGAAACAAGGAAAACACTGACAACCTTTGCAGCCCAAGACAAGACTATGACGAGAAACACCATGATCCAAGAGGTATTTTCGAACATATATGGCAGATCGGATCGTAATCCGTTGATCAAGAAGAAGAGAGGCATCAAGATCCCGGTAACGAAATCGTTAAGCTTCTCCACAACCCTGGTCCTTACCGCCTCCTCTTGCGGCAAAATTGCACCGAACATGAAGGCTCCAACAATAGAATTCGATCCGCAAGCGTCGGTGGTGAGCCCGCAGAGCAAAATCCCCGCCATGATGAACCATATATGCGTGTCGCTGAGGACTTCACCTTTCGTAGTATGTTCGATCAACCAAGCCACCGCCGGACGGAGTGCGAACACGCATAGCAGAACGAAAACAACCGTGGCGAGTATGGTCTTGTATTTCTGGCCGTTGAAGATCGATATCGCGGTGATGAGGAGAAGCCATGAGAACAAATCAGAGAGAATGGCCGAACTCATGGCTATCTTGCTGATGTTCGTGCGGAGGAGCTTGAGATCGGCGAGGACCCGAGTGAGATCAGGGAAGTTGGTGGATGTCAACGCGATGGCCCAGAACAACGATCCCCTCCCATCGAAATCCTCTTTCTCTTTTATCGCCATGAAATACAACCCGAAACCGAGAAGAAGCGGGAACATAATACCGGCGGCGGTGACACTTATCACCTGTGCCCCTGATTGCATAATAAGAGAAAAATCCATCTCTATGCCGACCAAAACATGTAATACGTCAACGCCAAATTTGCAAATGTCTCCAGCACCATTATCGTCTTGTGAGGTATGATATACTTATTCGAGAATGGAGTTTCAGCCAACAAGGTCGGCCCTAACGCCACGCCGCACTGCATGCACATGAAAACCAATACAATCAATATATATATATATATATATATATATATACATATACATATACATATACATATACATATACATATACATATACATATACATATACATATACATATACATATACATATACATATACATATACATATACATATACATATACATATACTTATACTTACCATGATATGGGCGACAATGGGAGGCTGGCGGAGGGGCCGGAGGACGAGCAACAGGAGCCGATCGAGAAAAAGAACGATGAAGAGCTGGGTCAGCAAGAAAGGGAGAGAAGTATTCAAGGAGCTCTGATCTCGCCATAGAGGATCACTCCCTGAATTATTCACATAATAACATGCTTCGATGCCTTCGTTTGTTTTCTTTATCACGTAGTGATCTTCGGAAGCGTTCATGTTGACGACGATCCGTCGTTAATCTTCCGACGATACGTCCTCAACCTTCCGACGATTAAAAGATTCGTAATACTCGTCGAATGAAGAATGAAATTAAGAATTAATGGGAGGGAGATTAGGGTTGATATAATTGATTGTATGGTTTATATTTAGTAGCCATTTTCCTACGGTGTCGGATAATGGTTTATATTATGATAATAGATGAAAAATAATAACTTTCAATAAAATAGAAACACGTGTCGATCCTAATAATTTTCATTAAAAATATCATTTTGATTAAAATAGGGCAAAGTAAACTAATGTTCCTCTAACTATAGGATACTATTTTATTAAGTCCATTGACTATTAAAAGTTATAAAATGATCCACCAACTATAGGGAGTTACTTTGTTGAGTCTATTGACTATTAAAAGTTATAAATGATCACTTGACTATTCATTATGTCCTAAACTCGTTCTTTTCTATTAAAAAATTAATGATCGTTTGAGTTGGACTATAATATGTTAACTGAGATATAACAGTCGTTTGAGATTATGAGATAAAATTTTATTATATTTCAGTCAGCAAGTTAACGTACAACTCAGACTACTATTAATTTTTTAAAGGAAAATGACGAGTTTAGAATATAATGAATAGTCGGATGACCATTTTGTAACTTTTAATAATCAAGGGACTCAACAAAACAACTCCCTATAGTTAGAGTATCATTTTGGAACTTTTAATAATCAAGATACTTCATAAAACAATATCTTATAACTGAGGGATCATTTGTGTATTTTACCCTTAAAATTATTACTTTAAAAGCTAAAGCGGTTAAGGATAGAAATAGTCGTTTAATCAAATATTAAAAGTTGTTTTTGATAATGTAGCAGTGCGATTAGGGATGTAAATTTAACTCAAATTCAATTAATTACGATATGATTTGATTTAGCAAGGTAGATTTAAAAAAAAGTTTAGGTTCGAGTCGGGTCATAATTTTTTTAATTGAGTATTTATTTTATACTGCAACAGATCAAGTCTGATATATACTCTAAAAATTTGGATCGGATTAAAGTCAAGTTTAAAATATATTTTTTATATCGGATGAAAGATATATATTTTTTAAATCGGATCAAATTCAGATGAATGATACCTACCTTCGATCATTAAACAACAAAACGTTGGCTATTGAATTAATGCGACTCACGATGTGTTAATTAATGAGATTAACCGGAAAAGATGGCTGCAGTGTCATCATCTTCCTTTAAATGATTCCGTTCCTTACAATAAGCTGCCGACGCCACCTTTCATTTTTCAGCACATAAAAAACAATTTAACTTTGGACCCATAACCGGCAACTTGTAATCAAAACTTTGGGCAGAGTGATTTAATTAAAAATACTCAAAATTGGGTTAATTACACAAATGATCCCTAGATTACATGGTATTACTTTATTAAAAGTTACAGAATGATCACCCGACTATTCATTATGTTTCAAACTCCTCGTTTTCCATTAAAAATAGAGGTTGTTTAAGCTGGATGTCAAAGTGATGAATGTGATGTGATAGTCATTCGAGATCCTATAACCAAACTTTATCATATCACAATCAACATGTTAACGTTCAGCTCAGAATATCGTCCGATTTTAATAAAAAATGACGAGTTTGAAACATAACGAATAATCGGGTAACCATTTTGTAACTTTTAATAGTAGAAACACTCAACAAAGCAACACTCTATAGTCGGATAATCATTTTGTAACTTTTAATAGTCTAGAGACTCAACAAATCAACACTCTATGGTCATAAGATAATTTTATAACTTTTAATAGTCGATGAACTTAATAAATTAGTATCATATAGTCGGGGGACCATTTGTATACTTTACCTGTTAAAATTTAACGATAATTTTTAAATATTTTGAAGGGATTAAAATATTTTAAGGGTCAAATGGCAATTTTACAAAATTTGGGGGTTGCTATGCTAATTAAACGGAGTCTATTGAAAAGCTTGGGAAGTAGCCCCAAGAACACGAGTAATCATTTTCTTAAAGACCCACCACGATTTTATCCCAAATAAAAGCTTGGAGATCAATGTGGACCCTTCGATTTAG